TCCAAACATTAGTGAGCTGAAATGGACTGGCAGTGGCCATTTGGAATCAATCACATGGTTTACTATGCCAGGAATGACAAATTCAAGAGGAATGGCTTCGCATTTTATCATGAAAAAGAACATTTCCAGATCTGTCTTGAAGTATGATACTGTCTGTGATAGGAGAGGATCCATGAATCTATTTAAGAAAGACCACTTAATAACACCACTATTATTCAAATTTATACACCAATCACTAAAGCCAGTGATGATGAAATTGAGGAATTCTACAAAATTCTTCAGTCTGAAATCGTTAAAACACAGAATCAAGATGTGCTGATAATTATTGGTGAATGAAATGCAAAGTTTAGAAATAAAGAAGGATCAGCAGTTGGAAAGTATGGTCTTGGTGACAGAAATGATGTAAGAGATCACATGATTGAACTGTGCAAGACCAATGACGTATTCATTGCAAATACCATTTTCCGACAACATCTGCATGGACCTTACCGGATGGAATATCCAGGAATCAAATTGACTACATCTATGGAAAGAGATGATGTAAAAGCTCAATACCATCCCCCAGTAAGATGGTTTGGCACAGTGGCAGCAGCAATGGGCTCCAACAGAATACCGATTGTGAGGACGGTGCAGGATGGGAGAGTGTTTCTGTTGTGCATATGGTCGCTATGAATAGGAACTGATTCAAGGGAAACTAACAGGAACAGCAAGGACTGCTGATATGGATAGAAAGGTGAAGTGAAAAATCCAGTAAAAATAATTTTGGGTCATGGAACTTGGTATGAATACCTGGCTCCTTAACTTAATTTTCACTTTTGAACTATTAATTTCTAGGTTAGTCAAAAATTATTTTAAATGTCATATGTAATAATCAAATTAAATTTAATATTAATCATAGCATATCATGGAAGACCCCTCAGACTTCTAAGTGTAAAGAAATCCTGGTAGTGACTCAGTTGGGGATGGATACAAGTCTTGCTGTAGAGGGGGTACGATACAAAAGTTGCTGCTGAGTGCCATTGAGTCAGTTCCTACTCATAGCAACCCTGTCTAGGGTTCCCAAGAATGGCTGGTGGGTTTGAATTGCTGACCTTGTGGTTAGCTGTCCAGTATTTATCCTACAGCACCACACCAGGTGGCTTCAGATGCCCTTTCTCTGCATGTCTCTCAATTTCATAATCAGACTCAGGAACAGGAAGGGATTATAGCAATGATGCAGCTAAAAAGCGCCTTTCAAGACATTTCAGCTCTCAGAACTTTGCTTTGATGCTTTGAAAGGGCAGAGCTTTCAAGTGAGCAAAGTCTTTCTGTTTTCCTCAGTCCAAATCAGAATGAATGAGAATGTACCTAATGGTTTCGAAAAGCTTTCTCAAC